TTATTAACTTTCAACTTTTAATGTATAGAAATATAGTCTCATTTTTGCGTGAGTGTCATATATCATTCATACATGCCAATTTCAATGAGTTTTGAATTATTTGAAAAAGTTTGGGCTTCAATATTATAATAGAACTAAGGAATGCCAGTCATGGCTTCGTTCGCAGTACTTTTGTTTTGGTGAAATATGATGGAATTCAATTTTGATTGATATCCCTGTAAACAAGTAGTTCTTCTCATAGGTGCTAAGATTGATAGGCTGCTTGCTGAACTCACTCTGAAGCAAGCTACATGAACTGTCCGTAGAAGATAAGAAAAATAACGAAATTCGTAAAAATAAATTTCACTCCTGAAACGATGGCATTTTAAAAAATCCAGTAATTACTTTATATTATTTTTATTTACAATTTGGCATCAGAACTAGTTTGATATCTCATCAAATTAAAGAGATATTGTAAAACAGAGAAAAACACATTTTACTCGATTTCCACTCCCAGGAGAGGAATATCGAAAAATGCTCCTTTAGGGAGCACCTGGAATATCGTAGGAATTTAACGTAAAAATTTCAATTAGATCGGTACGGTACTTTTTGCTGCTCATTGATGGGATGAAAGCTCTTCCACATCTATAAATTGAATTATAATTAGGTTTAAGGGGTCTCGTAAGTTCAAATAACTCATAAGGTATTTTTAATAATATATTTATTTATTCTATTTATATATATTATATATTATTACATATATAAATAAAATATTTATTTATATATATATCTAAAATATTATTTATATATATATTATTACACATTGAAATAAAATATTTATTTATGTATATATTTATTTTATTTTATTTTAATAATATACTTTGCGTAGCTTCCAGGAGGATACGCAATGCAGAGGTTTGTCTTTATTTCGAGATACGAGAGTCATTTGCAATTTTTTAAATAGAATGTCTAATATTTTTTTTCAATAAAATACCAAATTCTGAAGAAGACAGTATTTTAGTATAAAAGTAAAATTATTAATTATTAAAAGATTCTCAAATTAATAACCACCTTGACTGTTAATACAACTTGCAAGTCAAGATGGCAAGTCACGTTTGTAAATACCTTCTTAGTTAGATGTTAGATATAATCAATATAATATATAGCATAATTCAGTAGGTATTTTGCTTAGTAACAGAATTATATTCAGTAACAGATAAAAATACAATATAATAATAATTATTCTACAAACTATTCATTACTCATGCTGAATCCGATTACGCAAATGCATTAACTGTAATGGACACCAGTTGGAGCATCTCTTGAAATAAAATTATTTTTATAAATATTTTAATAATTATTCATTTCAAGCCCATATTAATATAATACTATTTCACTCAGCATTCGGTGATTTATTGAAAACCGAGAAAAGATATTTCGATTTATTTGAAGAAACAGAAAATAGATTACAGCATTGCACGTCCACCTGGAAGCCAAGAAAACATTTATTTTAAAATATTTATCGTACAGCAAATTCCTTACGAGTTATTCGAAACGGGACTCACTCAGTCCGCAAATCGAATTAAAATTCCATTAATGAATGCACATTCAGACGGACATAAGACAGTGACAAATGATACTCGTTAAAACAATCGCGAGTGATAGAGTCGTTCGTAAATAACTCGGCTCTTCCTATTACTGATGATCAAACACGAACACCGGATTCTTGATCCCCTGCGCTCACAGTTTGCCAAGACATGCATCTTCGTGATTTAGTTGATAGCGGACCCCAGCAGCGTAGGTTTGCGCCGAGGATTTCTGCCTCCCAACCACCTGTATTATCCGGCGTATTATAAAGAGGAGAAGAGACCTTAAAATCATGCGCGGCTAGAGAGACAGCTCGTTCCCAGCTGGGAAATCGCGTCGGCTACGGCGTTATCAATGAATTATTAGGGCAGCCAGAGAAAACAGCCCGTTGCCGATGCGCTCGCATTCCTGACGCATGAATATTGCCGCCGCCCGGGAACGTACATAATGCAAATGTTTGGAAATGCTAAAAAGATTCAGTTTTTTGCTGCGCCACCTGCGCGTCCCGTGGCCTCGTCGTCGCGTGAGCGGAATTTATATCGCCGGCTCCCCCCGTCCCCGGTAGCCTGTACAGTGAGGTAACAGATTTCCGGAATGATGTTTGAGTAGAAAATAGGCTGATCGATGTCCGCGATGCCCGATTACCGTGAAAAGTGAAATTTATAGCTGTTGACGTTGCCTGTTTGACTGGAAACCTGCCAGTCAGATCAATCTAATCCACGACTAAATTTCATTAGAAAATAGTAATTCGAATTCGACTCGCAGTTCTATTGGGTTCAATCAAGTGTTATTCAGGCGTCCAATTCAAATTCAAATATGTCGTGGAATAGTCTTGAAACGTCATTGGTCTGCGGATTTTTACGCAAAATTGTGGATTCATGTTTATATATAATTTTCATTTGTGAATTAAATATCACATGATCCAAATTACTTTGAATATTTTATATGCTTTTGCATACTGAGTGCACTAATCAGAATTCAGCGCACTTGTGTTTAATAAATGTATAAAAATCCGCAGTCCCTACGTCGTCCACTGATTTTCCTGAAAATAGGAGATCGTCATAGAAAGATTAATTTTTACATTTCTAAATCTAATGTACTATTACATACTGGCTGCTTTCTTCACTGGCATTTACTGGAAAATTAATATGTTCTCAGTTGGTATTGAAATTATGTTTTTCCTGGAGAAAATTCTTAGAAATGTTTGTAGGATGTAAGCAAATATTCTTGAGATAGTACGTACAAAAATACTTCGGGTACCGCAGGTTTCTTCTTTATATTAAAATGAAATATGGAATGTGCCCTCTGAAAGGCACGTCTGACTACACGATTGCAGCGGGTACGTGCACGTGCACGTGTCCATGAGGTTCAGCGGCGAGTTTCCGTGCATGCTAATGGTTTCGCGTGTTATGGCGCGTGATTGAATCGTGTGTGACGACATCG